TGCTGCCACCTTCAAAAAGGGCATTTTTGTGCATCCCCCCTGAGTTCCTAACTGCATGCAAAATTTGAAGGGAGGTTGAAAATTTTCATTTCCCAAGATGTTTGATTCTTACAAAGACTTGTTCTTAAGTTTATCAAGTAGTATTTTGTGATTGACGGTATCAAAAGCCTTTTTTAGGTCAATGAAAACACCACACGAGAAATAATGCTTATCTATATTGTTCTGTAAAGTTTCGACAATATCAAGGATCGCATGATCTGGGGAGTGCACCTTACGGAAGCCATACTGTGAGGAATGTATTAACTTATTTTTGTCAATAAAGTCCTTCATTCTGTAACACAGTAGCTTTTCTTTTTTTAGAGCAACATTTGATGCCTGACCATGCCCACCCAACCCACCCTCCGCCCCACAAACACACACACCAACAAAAAGGACACTGTCTGCCTAATGACTTCAGCCCATCCCATCCAGCTCACACAACCTTATTTCCAATTCCCATCGCGACAAATGCACAAGTTTTCTTATCACACAAATGCCCAAAAAGAAAAGAAAAAAAAATCCATAAGTCCTGAAATGTCACATAAACCGAATTCAACTGTACCTATACTCAACAAGTCCAAGAAATCGATACAAACTCAAGGCATAACATGAATGAGCTGGCTCCAAGAGCCCTTTTATTAAAAACATGTTTCTACAGTTCTTCTGTCATCTTCAGCGTCGTTCATTTTCTTAAATTCGTTACATATTTGCTGCTATCCAGACCTTTTGGAAATTTGGTCCACTTTTTGAGCGGACCATTTATGTTCTGTAACACTATTTAGCTTTGCCATTCTTGTTGCAAACGTTGGATGGGTGCACAGCAACTGGCCTCTTCTTTCGGGTTATATTCGCCTTACCGATATTTTAAAGGCCCATGGAAATAAATCACGGAGCTGTTAAAACTGTTCAACATACTGAACAATACATAAATTATGCCAAGCCTAAAAGCGGTGCTTCAACTCGTTCACATCACCGCCCTTTACTTTGATTGTTACCATGATAACTCCTGATTGGTCGTTGACGATTTTAACGACAGCAATTCATTTGAGGTCATCAGTTATCATTCATGTAGAGGGAATCGACTCACACTGCTAACCCAAATAAATTGAAATTTGAGACACTCTGAGATGTGATTTCTAGCATTCTGGGACATATTTGAGTAACATGTTCAAGCCAGACATTGATGCTAGCATCGATTCAAACGCTAAAAACGTCAGCTTTATAAACTCTCTACGGAAGCCAATTCACGTTATCAACTCACTTCATAAAACCAAACAACTTATTTTAGTATGTGAAATCCAACAGTTTTGGACCGGCAAAGTAGACCGTAAAGGTTCGTGTTTCTGAGACAGTTCAATTCTCCCGTCTAGAGGAAGCAATTATTTAAATAAATAACAAAATTAAAATTGTAATTATTTTGTTGTGGCGGCAAGCTGATATGACGATAAACTCTTTAATCCGTTTTATTTTACACTTGGAAACAGCACAGCATTGTGGTTGATCGAAAACAAATAGCAAATAAACTTAAAGGAAAACTACCTAGGGAACTATTAATGACGACATTACTTACATTCTTCGAAGAATATCTTACAGAAGACGTTGTTCAGTTTTCAGAAACGAAAAACGTTGAAGTCTGTGACTGAGACACGTGCGAACTAGCGAACTTCTTGTGGTCATGATATCCGAATATTCAAAACACTTTATAACACCATTCGAAGTGTCCTTAATAAACATACAAAATAAAACGACACTTGATAGAGTTCTTTGATCAACAAGAAAAAAATACACTAAATATTTCTGAAGGTCATAAAAACGCCGTTTAAATAAGCCTCTACCTTTTGCCTGCTTTTTACCAGAATCATCCTTTTCGGCTCAAAGTTAAACAATTATCTTTTTCTACAAAAAAAAAAAGCCACTCTTTAAAATTATTTTCCTTTCGGATCCCACGCCTTTTTTGTGTTACTAACTATCTTATTTAAGTTTTTCATTAACGTGTGTATTGTAACTTATACGCACCGCTGAACTTGCTACACAAACAGTGGCACAGAGATTTATTTTGACCCTTATAGACCCTAACATTAGTAAGCATATTCTCCGTACTGTTCTCTGGCATTTCCAAAGGTGCTGACAAAGAGAATTTGTTTACCGATCAAAAGCTTCTTTCGTTGGTGATCATTTCCTTTATTCTCATGACCTTAATGTGTGATATTGTAGGGAGAAATTTAATGCTTGTCACTCTAAGGGATTTAACGGGTTAACGTAACAATTGAGAGGAAACTCTAACAAAGGTGTGGTATTTGCTACGCGAAAGTTAATAGTTCCTAAATCTCAGAAGAAAATTAACCTTTCATAGCAACAACGAGCGAAATCTTTTTAAACATAAATGCGGCAACCTGCAAACCTTGTGATAGCCCACTTTTCGATATTGCTTTTCTTTCACTTTTAACTAGTATAACACTCGTGTGTCGTTTGTCTTCTGTCTCGTATGCTTAATTTACGTCAAGAAAAACAAGAAAATAAGCAGTTTGAGAGTGCATGTGGCTACCAATATAGTATAATTTTAATAGCATGGAAAAGAATTAGAAGTTGCATATTGATGCCAGAAGGAAGTCTTAAAGATTTGTCCCAAATGCAAAACAGAAAACCTGCCACATCCCACATATTTACGAAGAGTATCTTGTTCCACAAGAGAAAGATGATTCAATAATAAAGAGACTAATCGACACTCAACCACAGATTTAATAGTATCAAATAATTATATTAACAATAATAATAATAATAATGATAATAGCGATAGTAATGATAATTTTTAGGGACTAGCTCTATCAGTCTATCCTTTAGGCTCCCATAATGATTAAACTATGCCTCTTCTAGTTCTGCCTATTAATTATAAATTACATTCTTTTATTTCACTGCAATTCCATTTTTGTGAGACTTTTGTTTCAAACAACAAGGCATTCTACGTTTTAGGATATTCCACCGTTCCACAGAAGCCCTGCGTTCCATCATTCCGTGGCCCAGTGTCACCCTGTTAAACTCAAGGTATCGTACTTCGGACCTTGCTCGATTCGCAAATTTAGCGGCTCTTTTGGGCATAAGCCGCTGATTGGAATGATAAAATGCTAACTCGGCAAGAACTGAAAAAATTATATCTTTGGATCTACCTAGCATGATTCGATGATTCAAACAGAAAAATGCTCTCTGCAATCACGAAACTTATTTTCATACCGTTTCCTGTGCGTATTGCGTTTAAGTGTTTATTACAGTGTTAACTACCTGAGAGTGTTCCTACGTTTCATTAGTTCCATTGTGCGCTTGTGGTTGATGTTTGTACCGTTAATGTTAGGTAATGATGCCGAGTAATTTGTCAGATTTTGTGTATAAATTTTGTCCTTTAGATCAATGGTTAAGTCCACTTTTTAAGAAGCAGCGTCGTCGTTTCCGTTTATTTATCTGTAGAACTATGCACCGTTAAGATAAATAGTTTTCTTTATTATTAGTTTATTTCCAAGTTTTCGTTCTCTAATATGTATTTTCCTACTCGTGTTTAGTAGCCTTGGCGTGTGGATGTTTAAAATAAATGATGAACACAATTACTCGTAACTTCGGTTACACGGCTCTTTTCAAAGAAAAATGTTTCCTCTACGTTTCCAATAAGTATTTTCCTACATATGTTTAGTAGCCTTGGTGTGTGGATGTTTTTAAATAAATGATGAACACAATTACGCGTGACTTCGGTAACACTTTCTTTTCAAAGAAAAAATGTTTCCTATACGTTTCCGTGATGCATCGATGACACCTTTTAGATATTTCTGCCAGAAAGAGCAGTATTTTTTTTTCACGCGTCATCCTGAAATGATTGTGAATGTTTATTGTCTTCTGTACT